GGCTCCCCTGTGATCCAGGTCACTTGGTTTAAAAATAACAAAGAACTTAGTGAAAGCAACACGGTCCGCATCTCTTTTGTCAATTCTGAGGCGATCCTGGACATCACTGATGTCAAGGTCGATGACAGCGGGACCTACTCCTGTGAAGCCACGAATGACGTGGGCAGTGACAGCTGCAGTGCGGAAGTCGTTATCAAAGGTCTGTTTCCTGGGCTCCGGCTCCTCCTCGTTTTGCTGAGCAACTTTTCCTCTGGTTTGCTGGTGCCTCACACCTTACCCTGTGCTTTCGTGCCTTTATTGTAGAGCCGCCATCTTTCATCAAAACTCTTGAGCCTGCAGACATAGTACGAGGGGCCAACGCGCTACTTCAGTGCGAGGTTGCGGGCACGGGACCCTTTGAAATTAGCTGGTTTAAAGACAAGAAGCAAATCCGAAGTAGTAAAAAGTACAGGGTGTTTGCTCAGAAGTCTTTTGTGTTTCTGGAAATTGCGTCTTTCAATAGTGCGGACGTTGGCGATTACGAATGTGTGGTCGCTAATGAAGTTGGAAAGTGTGGCTGCGTCGCAACACACTTATTAAAAGGTTAGTGTGGTGGGTGGGTGGGTGGGGGGGGGAGGTATTTTTCTAATGAATTGTCCAAATAGCTTTCTTAATCCACAGAAAGAAAGTGAATTCGTTCTCTTCTTCTAACCTTTAAGATGTGTTTTGTCTTAATTTGAACTTAGGGCCCGGAGCCTTCACTCAGTCTTTGTCTTGATAGGAATAGAAATATTTCTTATCTGATAACAAAAGAAAATTACATAAACAGTCATTTTATTTGCTGAAAAAGATTTATAGTCTGTGCCTGTCTTGAATGGAGTTGTTAATTCTTCCTATAGTTTCTCTCTTCTTTCTAATAAACAAATGCTGTGAGGTGGGAAACATGTAGCCCGAACCGAAGCCTGCAGTAGAGGTGGGGGTTGAGAGTGTGTGGGAACTGACACATGTGTGTGCTCTTCCTTAACTAGAACCACCAACCTTTGTCAAGAAAGTAGATGATCTCACAGCTCTGGCAGGACAGACTGTGACCTTACAAGCTGCTGTGAGAGGGTCAGAACCCATCTCTGTCATGTGGATGAAAGGCCAAGAAGTCATTAAAGAAGATGGAAAAATTAAAATGAGCTTTTCCAATGGAGTTGCGGTGTTGACCATCCCTGATGTGCAGATTAGTTTTGGTGGCAAATATACATGCCTGGCTGAGAATGAAGCCGGGAGCCAGACATCTGTCGGGGAACTCATAGTTAAAGGTCTGTGTAGGAACATGTTAACTTTTAATTGGCTTTCTCACCTAAAATTGAAGCCTTGATTCATGCCAAGGAGTCCTAACTATCTAATACTTTTATAGAACCTGCCAAAATCATTGAGCGAGCAGAACTGATCCAAGTGACTGCAGGAGACCCAGCCACCCTGGAGTACACAGTCTCAGGCACCCCAGAACTCAAGCCCAAGTGGTACAAAGACGGGAGGCCCTTGGTTGCTAGTAAAAAGTACCGCATCAGTTTTAAAAACAACATTGCCCAGCTGAAATTTTACTCAGCTGAACTACACGACAGTGGCCAGTACACATTTGAGATTTCCAATGAAGTGGGCAGCAGTTCCTGCGAGACCACGTTTACTGTGTTAGGTTCGTATTTTTAGAAAACTCCGTGTCTCTCTCTAAACGCGCAACAAAAGCGCCCAAAGATAAACCACTGAGCAGTCGGCCATGTTGATCTTATTTTCTCTCTTCCGCCACAAACAGATCGAGACATTGCTCCATTTTTTACCAAACCCTTACGCAACCTGGACAGTGTCGTGAGCGGGGCCTGCAGGTTAGACTGCAAAATCGCTGGCTCCCTCCCCATGCGGGTCTCCTGGTTTAAGGACCGCAAGGAAATCGCCGCTTCTGACAGATACCAGATGGCATTTGTGGAAGGCACGGCCTCTCTGGAGATCAGCAGGGTAGACATGAACGACGCAGGGAATTTCACCTGCCGGGCCACCAATTCCGTGGGGAGCAAAGACAGCAGCGGAGCCCTGATTGTGCAAGGTTGGCTAGGGGCTTTGTTGTCTACTCTCCCGATATTCAAATCAAGCCCCACTTCCCTTGGGTCCAGACTTGTAACTCCTTCAACTTCTCTCTTCTGCCTCTTCTTCAGAACCACCCAGCTTTGTAATTAAGCCAGGGTCCAGGGACGTCCTGCCCGGCTCGGCAGTCTGCCTGAAGAGTACTTTCCAAGGGTCCACTCCTCTCACCATCAGATGGTCTAAGGGTGACAGAGAGCTGGTTTCTGGTGGAAGCTGCTACATTACCAAAGACGCTTTAGAGAGTTCCCTGGAACTCTATGCGGTGAAAACCTCGGATTCAGGCACATACACGTGCAAAGTCAGCAACGTGGCCGGAAGTGTGGAGTGCAGTGCAAACTTGTTTGTGAAAGGTTTGCATTCTTCTCTTGACGCCTTCGTGCGACCCTTTTTACATAAGTTCTTTTATTCTTTCTGCTGTTTCTTAATAACGCCCTTCCTTCCACAGAGCCTGCTACCTTTGTTGAAAAGTTAGAGCTGTCCCAACTGTTAAAGAAGGGAGATGCCACTCAGCTGGCCTGCAAAGTCACAGGCACCCCGCCAATTAAAATAACGTGGTTTGCGAATGACAGAGAACTGAGAGAGAGCAGCAAACACAAAATGTCTTTTGTGGAGTCCACGGCCGTTTTAAAGCTTACAGATGTGGCCATTGAAGACAGTGGTGAATACATGTGTGAAGCTCAAAATGAGGCTGGTAGCGACCACTGCACTAGCATTGTGATAGTCAAAGGTTTGTTCTCGCTGTATCTCCATGTGACCAAGCTTTTGGCCCGTAGCACAGATCCCCGCCCATTAACTCAAGCCATTCTCTTCTACTGTAGAATCACCCTACTTTACCAAGGAGTTTAAGCCCATTGAAGTACTAAAGGAGTATGATGTCATGTTGCTGGCCGAGGTGGCAGGCACCCCTCCCTTTGAGATCACTTGGTTCAAAGACAACACGACTCTGCGCAGTGGTAGAAAATACAAAACCTTCATTCAGGATCAGCTGGTTAGTCTGCAGATCCTCAAGTTTGTAGCTGCAGATGCGGGTGAATACCAGTGCCGGGTGACCAACGAGGTGGGCAGCAGTACCTGCAGTGCCAGGGTGACATTAAGAGGTCAGTGTGGGCTTCGCTGATGGACGGGCTCTTCTACACAGACCAGTCTTAAGTGTGCAGCTACAGCTTTGCTATAGAGCGGGTACTGATTGAGAACTCATTCTTCTGATAGAACCCCCATCCTTCATTAAGAAGATTGAGACCACCAGCTCCCTCCGCGGAGGCACAGCTGCCTTCCAGGCCACGCTGAAAGGCTCCTTGCCAATCACGGTGACTTGGTTAAAAGACAATGACGAGATCACTGAGGACGACAACATAAGAATGACTTTTGAGAACAACGTGGCTAGTCTCTACCTGAGTGGTATTGAAGTCAAGCATGATGGGAAATATGTCTGTCAAGCCAAAAACGATGCAGGCATACAAAGGTGTTCTGCACTGCTCTCAGTCAAAGGTTGGTGCAGAAAACTGCCTTAGGTTGTAGGGGAAAAAAAAAAGATGCCAATTAAAGGCCTCTCAGCAGGGCACTTCACAGCCCACACCTGTCCTTTGTTTTCTGCAGAACCTGCAACAATAACGGAGGAGGCTGTGTCCATAGATGTCACTCAAGGAGACCCGGCCACTTTGCAAGTTAAATTTTCAGGGACTAAGGAGATTACAGCGAAATGGTTTAAAGATGGCCAGGAACTAACTCTGGGTCCAAAATACAAAATCAGTGTCACCGACACAGTCTCAATCCTGAAGATTATTTCCACAGAGAAGAAAGATAGTGGAGAATATACTTTTGAGGTCCAAAATGATGTTGGGCTAAGCAGCTGCAAGGCTAGCATTCATGTCTTAGGTTGGTATTAATTTCTATAGGGAGGAGTTGAGTGTCTCAGGGGCCCTTCCTCTTGTACGATTTAAAGAGGAAACAGAGGGCTACGGGTGTAGTTCATGTGTGTGCAAGGTCCTGGGTTCATGCCTTAGCATTCCGTGGTCAGAGGGGAGGTAGGGAGAGAGAGAACAAATAGCTAGATTAACCTAAATTTTTCTTGCTTTTTTTTTTTTGTTGTTGTTATTGGCTAGATCTTATTATACCTCCTTCATTCACCAAGAAACTGAGGAAAATGGACAGCATTAAAGGCTCTTTTATTGACTTAGAATGCATAGTGGCTGGATCACACCCCATCAGCATCCAGTGGTTCAAAGATGACCAGGAAATATCAGCTAGTGACAAGTACAAATTCTCTTTTCACGATAACACTGCCTTCTTGGAGATAAGCCAGCTGGAAGGCACAGACAGCGGTACATACGCCTGTTCCGCCACCAACAAGGCGGGCCACAGCCAGTGCAGTGGCCACCTCACCGTCAAAGGTTGGCACTTTTTACCTCCACCTTACCCAGCTGTATTGCCTTGGACTTCTTACACCTCCTCCTCTTTGCTGAGTTCTGAAATAACCGCCCCCCTCTCTCTTCTGCTTCCTGTTCTTCCATCCCAGAACCCCCTTACTTCGTGGAAAAGCCACAGTCGCAGGACGTGAATCCCAGCACCAGGGTTCAGTTGAAGGCTCTTGTGGGGGGCACTGCGCCCATGACAATAAAGTGGTTCAAAGATAACAAGGAGCTGCACCCCGGGGCCGCTCGCTCCGTTTGGAAGGACGACACCTCCACCATTCTGGAGCTCTTCTCCGCCAAGGCTGCTGACTCTGGGACCTACATTTGCCAGCTAAGCAATGACGTTGGCACCGCCAGCAGTAAAGCCACCCTCTTTGTGAAAGGTCTGCTCTCTAGATTGCCTCTTTTTCTTGCTTGCCTCGCTTGTCTTTGGGAAGGGAAAGGTCGTTAAGAAAACGCTTTTGGTCATTGGACTTCGTTTAATAAATAAAAATTCAGCATGTCACTCTCTTTCTTTTCTCATCTTTAGAACCTCCTCAGTTTATTAAGAAGCCCAGTCCAGTGTTAGTGCTGAGGAATGGACAGTCAACAACGTTTGAATGCCAAGTAACGGGCACTCCCGAAATCAGAGTGTCTTGGTATCTGGATGGGAATGAAATAACAGATCTTAGGAAGTACGGCATTTCTTTTGTGGATGGCTTAGCCACTTTCCAGATTTCTAATGCCAGGGTAGAGAACAGTGGGACCTACGTCTGTGAAGCTCGAAATGACGCGGGCTCCGCGAGCTGCAGCATTGAGCTGAAAGTGAAAGGTTTGTGAGGGCCCCCGCTTTGTGTTTCAGCGGGGCTGTCTGCTGGCTCCAGGGCTTCTCTCGAGCTAAGCCGCTCTCTGTCTTCCTTTCAACTCTGTAGAGCCTCCCACCTTTATCAGGGAGCTGGAGCCCGTGGAGGTGGTCAAGGACAGCGATGTGGAGCTGGAGTGTGAAGTCATGGGGACGACGCCATTGCAAGTCACCTGGCTGAAGAATAACAAGGAAATCAGAAGTGGCAAAAAATACACCATGTCTGAGAAAATGTCCGTGTTTTATCTGCATATAACCAAGTGTGACCCTTCGGACGTTGGGGAATATCAGTGCATCATAGCCAACGAAGGAGGCAGCTGCTCGTGTAGTGCTCGGGTTGCCTTGAAAGGTCAGTCGTGGGCTAGGACCAACACCGAGGGCTCTTGGGTTGTAGGTCGCGAGTAAGAGTTCAAAGGCGCCTCTTCTTGAACCCCTGTCTTATCTAATCACAGAACCACCATCGTTCATCAAGAAGATAGAGAATGTCACCACTGTCTTGAAGAGTTCCGCCACCTTTCAGAGTACCGTGGCAGGCTCACCCCCCATTTCTATAACTTGGCTAAAGGATGACCAGATTCTTGAGGAAAATGACAATGTGCATATTTCATTTGTGGACAACGTAGCCACACTGCAAGTCCGGAGTGTAGATAACGGACACAGTGGGCGATACACGTGTCAGGCCAAGAATGAGTCAGGAGTTGAGAGGTGCTATGCCTTCCTCCTAGTGCAAGGTCGGTGCATTATTCTCTTTCAGTAGTGGTCTACAGAGATGGCTTTATAGGCACATTTGGGCTCTAACAGAATTACTGACCTAACTTGTGCACATTTTTTATTCTTACTGCAGAACCCGCTCAAATCATAGAGAAAGCTAAGTCAGTTGATGTTACCGAGAAAGACCCGGTCACCCTAGAGTGTGTGGTAGCTGGGACACCCGAACTGAAAGTCAAATGGCTTAAAGATGGGAAACAAATTGTACCCAGTAGATACTTTTCAATGAGTTTTGAAAACAATGTGGCCAGTTTCAGGATTCAGTCCGTAATGAAACAAGACAGTGGACAGTACACGTTCAAGGTGGAAAACGACTTTGGAAGCAGCAGCTGTGATGCTTACCTGAGAGTGCTAGGTGTGTACCTCTGCTCTGCCAGCTGCCCCTCACTAGAGCAGATACCTGGTAGACAAATAGCAACATACTAATGGGTGTGTTTTTGCCCTTTGCCTTGGATAGACCAAGATATTCCCCCATCGTTCACCAAAAAGTTGACCAAAATGGACAAAGTTCTGGGTTCTTCTATTCACATGGAGTGCAAGGTTTCTGGGTCCCTTCCCATTAGTGCTCAGTGGTTTAAAGATGGAAAAGAAATATCTACAAGTGCGAAATACAGACTCGTATGTCACGAAAACACCGTGTCGCTGGAAGTTAGCAATCTGGAATTAGAAGACACCGCAAACTACACCTGCAAGGTGTCCAATGTAGCAGGAGACGACGCCTGCAGCGGCATCTTAACCGTGAAAGGTGAGGACTGCTCGTCCTCTTCTGCTCTTTGTCGGTACTTCTAGAACATACCACTCTTAACCTTGCATCCTCAGAGGTTAAAAAAAAAATCTTAGTAATGCTGTTTCTTTCAATTCACATTCATTGCATTCAAGAAATATTTAATCATTACCTCTTTTCGTGAGTTGCTTTCTTAGATACTCATAAAAAAACCATTGGGCTACAAGGGCCATGACTAAATCTGACTCTCTTAAAATCTGTAGAACCACCAAGCTTCCTAGTGAAGCCTGAGCGACAGCAAGCTATACCTGATTCGACAGTGGAATTTAAGGCTGTGCTGAAGGGAACGCCACCGTTCAAAATTAAGTGGCTTAAGGATGATGTGGAACTTGCCTCAGGACCTAAATGTTTCATTGGCTTGGAAGGGTCAACCAGCTTCTTAAATCTCTACTCAGTGGATGCTTCCAAGGCTGGACAATACACTTGCCAAGTTACCAATGACGTTGGTAGCGACTCTTGCACTACGATGTTGCTTGTGACAGGTGTGCAAGTTTGATTGTCTTACGTTTCTGTCTGCCTCATGCCTCTGTTGTTCCTGAACTCTGTTACAAAGCAGCTTGCTAACACAGTAGGAGGGTATATTCCCCAGACCTTGGTCACGTTCCTCCCTTTCCTACCTATTACCTAATGGGGCCTTTGTGATCCCTTGCTCCTCCTTCATAATCTCCTTTCTCCTGACTCTTTAGAACCACCGAAGTTTGTAAAGAAATTAGAAGCAACCAAAATAGTAAAAGCAGGTGACTCCACACGCCTGGAATGCAAGATCACTGGGTCTCCAGAAATACAGGTTGTGTGGTACAGGAATGAACATGAGCTCACAGCCAGCGATAAGTACCAGATGACTTTCATCGATTCAGTGGCGGTCATACAGATGAACAACCTCGGGACAGAGGACAGTGGAGATTTCATCTGTGAGGCTCAGAATCCCGCTGGCAGCACCAGCTGCAGTACCAAGGTTATAGTAAAAGGTAGAAACCTCCTTCTGTTCCTCATTAATGGAAATGCATCACCCTCTTCTCCCCTGGGTATCACAGTTTCTTATTCTTCACTGCTCTCCTAGTTTCTATCTCAAGCCCAGGGGTATTTCCCTAAGATACAATCATGTCACTGATTGAATGTTACTTCTTGTGAAGCTTTGTCTACATTCAGGTGGTCATTTTGAGATATTTTTCCTGTAATTCCAATACTATAATTCTGACCACCAATATATATCTATAAAAATAAAAAGGAAAAATTTTAAATTAATCTTTTGATTTCAATCACATTGCAACCAAAACAGCATCCCCATAGTCTGTATCATAATGAAGTAACAATATAAACAATATAGGTTTTATTATTACATCTTTAAAATGGCAATAATGTTTCCTCTTTCTCACAAATCAGCTCCTTTCTTTAAAAAGCAACTTTACTATGGTGCAAATAGTGCCAGTATTTTCCACAGTCATTTTTCCCAGCATGCTTTGCCATAAAGATCAAGTTTGTCATGTAAGATAATTGTTAGAGTAACCATTTCCTGAAATGGAAGGCTCAGATCACAGCTGTTTTTGTGACTTCTGGGTATCTCTGTTGTAAAGCATAAATGACATTTTTTTTTAATTTCTAAAGGCAAAATTCCATATATCGTAGAATTTCTATTTATTGATAAATTTGCTCCTTTATAAATTCAGCATCAATCTTTGTAGAGCAAAATAAATCAACACATTGAACTCAACTGGGACCGCTAGGATACATCTTGGCTCTCCATCTATCTAGCTAATAAGTAATAGTGCTACCTACACATGATACTATCTTAAACCACACATCCGATTGAAAAGCAAGCAGAAAACCATTTTCTATCGGAGGATATCAACTAGCCCAACTCATGAGCGATTCTTGTTTTTTACAGAACCACCTGTCTTTAGCAGCTTCCCTCCTGTAGTAGAAACCCTTAAGAACACTGAAGTTAGCATTGAATGTGAGCTTTCAGGAACACCACCATTTGAGGTGGTGTGGTACAAAGACAAGCGCCAACTCCGAAGCAGCAAGAAGTACAAGATCGCATCTAAGAATTTCCACGCAAGCATTCACATCCTCAATGTGGAATCGACAGACATCGGCGAGTACCACTGCAAAGCCCAGAATGAAGTGGGCAGTGACACCTGTGTGTGTGCCATAAAATTAAAAGGTGAGCATAGCTTCTGTGCATGGCAGAAATATCAAGCATGTGCAAAGTGCTCAGTGTGTCCTCTCTCCCACTACCTGGAAAGCTTTTTGAGCAATCTCCATTCATCTTTTCCTGTTCAGAACCACCAAAATTCATTTCCAAGCTGAGCAGCCTCACAGTGGTGGCTGGCCAGCCTGCTGAGCTGCAAGCAACCATAGAAGGCGCCCAGCCTATTTCTGTCCAGTGGCTTAAAGAGAAAGAAGAAGTGATCAGAGAGAGTGAGAACATTAGAATTTCATTCGTGGACAACGTTGCAACTCTGCAGTTTGCTAAAGCTGAGCCAGCCAATGCTGGGAAATACATCTGCCAAGTCAAGAACGATGGTGGAGTGAGGGAGAACATGGCCACCTTGACCGTCTTAGGTACAACAGAACTTGGGGGCAACCACTGGAATGATTTCCATGCATTCTCTTTGTTCTGAATTTCTTCCAGAACCATACTGAGCCTTGCTGTTTGGAAGGCTTAGGAAAAAGACACAATTGATCTTAAGTGCTCTTTTCTGATTCCTGTGATTCTAACAAAAATTAGCTAGCTGTTTTATTTATATGCACTGCTTTTCTTCATGGATAGCAAATATTCTGACTATATTTTATGTCAACATGAACCCTCTTGGGGCCTCTCTACTGTTACAAGGAAATTTTGTGTTCAGAATAGCAGTGGTTAAGCTGACAAAAACTCCAAAGATCAATGTTTGAAGGAAAGATTTGCACTTTCATCACTGAGCATATTAAATTTCAATCCAGTGATAAGAATGAAAGTGAAGAGAACTTTCAAAATATCTTCTCTAGCATGTTAACAAAGAGAAAAAACACCAAGCAACTCATTTAACAGGGACCCTCTGCTCTAAAGAGCATCAAGTGTAAATCAAAACGTATTTTGGAGCCCAGTGAGATGGCTGGTGGGTAAAGGTGCCTGCTGCCATGCCTGAGGACCTGAGTTCAATCCCTGGGACTGACATGGGTCTCTGACCTCCATATGCATTCCATGGCATATACCCCCACCAAACACACATATGCACTTACAAAACAAATATTATTTGTACTTTTTAAAAAATTAGATTATCTGATATACATTGCCTGGATTGTTTTGGAATTAATACCCAGACATGTTTTCAATGGATGCAAATAATTTTATGAATGCATAGGATTACAGAATCACATTTTAGAGCCGAGAGAGAAAAATGTAACCATCAGTGAAAAAAAAATGGTGCAATTCATAGAGGAGATAAGGACAGGTTCCAGATTTTCAAAGATTTTCATCTCATGTTTTATTTCAGAGCCTGCAGTCATTGTAGAGAAGGCAGGATCCATGACGGTGACTGTGGGAGAAACATGTACCCTGGAGTGTAAGGTGGCTGGCACACCTGAACTCTCTGTTGAGTGGTACAAGGATGGGAAGCTCTTGACCAGCAGCCAAAAACACAAATTTAGCTTCTACAACAAAATCTCTTCCTTAAAAATTCTCTCAGTTGAAAAGGAAGACGCAGGCACCTACACATTCCAGGTTCAGAACAACGTTGGGAAGAGCAGCTGCACCGCCGTGGTCGATGTATCAGGTTAGTTCCGGCGTTTTCACCGGCCTGCGTATGTGAATCTCTTTTACGAACTTTCCTTCTTCCATGTCTCTTCTGTCCTTTCAAGTCACCACGAGTCCTTTGTCTTTCTTCGCGCAGACCGAATGGTTCCTCCCTCTTTCACACGAAGACTGAAGGATACTGGTGGGGTCCTGGGCACTTCCTGCATCTTAGAATGTAAAGTAGCTGGCTCATCCCCTATCTCCATTGCCTGGTTTCACGAGAAAACTAAGATTGTCAGTGGAGCAAAGTACCAACCCACGTTTTCCGATAACGTCTGCACATTGCAGTTGAATTCTCTGGACTCGTCGGATATGGGCAGTTACACGTGTGTGGCCGCTAACGTGGCTGGGTCTGATGAATGCCGTGCAGTGTTGACTGTACAAGGTTAGTGCCACACAATCAGGTTTGCAGGGCATGTGTTAAAAATTCCTCTCTGGACACATGTCTGGATTGACACACATCATAAGCACTCTTATTTTTTTTTTTTATTCAAAATTGAAGTAAGTCCAAAGCTTACTGGATCCTTCCATTGTCTTCTATATCTGTGTAGAGCCACCCTCTTTTGTGAAAGAGCCGGAACCACTGGAAGTCCTCCCAGGCAAAAACGTAACCTTCACAAGTGTTATCCGAGGAACCCCTCCATTCAAGGTCGGCTGGTTTAGGGGTGCCAGAGAACTAGTGAAAGGAGACCGGTGCAACATCTATTTTGAAGACACCGTGGCAGAACTGGAATTATTTAATATTGACATATCTCAGAGTGGGGAATACACCTGTGTGGTTTCTAACAATGCTGGCCAGACATCCTGCACTACGCGTCTCTTTGTGAAAGGTTTGCCAAACATACACACATACACACTCTCCTTCTTTTGATTGCTGGCATTTGGGTGGCTTTGTGATGTGTCTAACTGCAATGCTTTGTCACTTACCAGAGCCAGCCACGTTTGTAAAGAAACTAAGCGATCACTCTGTAGAACCTGGGAAGTCTGTCATTCTGGAGGGCACCTATACTGGAACACTCCCAATTTCTGTCACCTGGAAAAAAGATGGTGTCAGCATAACTCCGTCTGAAAGATGCAGCATTGTCACCACAGAGAAAACCTGCATCCTGGAAATTCTGAGCAGCACAAAGGGAGATGCAGGGCACTACTCCTGTGAGATTGAAAACGAGGCAGGAAGGGATGCTTGCGAAGCGCTGATATCTACCTTAGGTGTGTTATCTTACTCTCTTAAGGATTTTGGATTTATCGGATAGGCACGGTGGGTCCTTTGCTCTCCGGTAGTTCCGTTCGCTGATTGTGAGCTTTTCTCCTTTAGAACCGCCTTATTTTGTCACGGAATTAGAACCTCTGGAGGCGTCAGTTGGAGACTCAGTTTCCTTACAATGCCAAGTAGCTGGGACACCAGAAATCACAGTGTCTTGGTTCAAAGGAGACACCAAGTTAAGGTCAACTCCAGAATACAGGACCTACTTTACAAACAATGTGGCCACGCTTGTCTTTAATAAAGTGAGCATCAACGACAGTGGAGAGTACTCCTGCGTAGCGGAGAACAGCATAGGGACGGCCGCCTCTAAGACTGTCTTCAGAATCCAAGGTGACACTTTCCTTTTAGACGTTAAGACATTTCTTCTTTCCTCATTACCTTCTTTATCTTTATGGGACTTTTCTCATTTTACCCACTAATGCCTCAAGCATGACTTGTCTTCCTACAGAGCGCCAGCTCCCACCTTCCTTTGCAAGGCAATTAAAGGACATCGAGCAAACAGTTGGGTTACCAGTTACACTTACTTGTCGACTGAATGGCTCTGCACCCATCCAAGTGTGCTGGTATAGAGATGGGGTGCTCTTAAGAGACGATGAAAATCTACAGATGTCATTCGTGGATAATGTGGCAACATTAAAAATTTCACAAACTGACTTGAGTCACTCTGGCCAATATTCTTGCTCAGCCTCCAATCCACTTGGTACAGCATCATCTACTGCTAGATTGACAGCAAGAGGTTTGTTCCCATGCCAATCTCTCTCTTCATAAACCTGGTTTCTTATTTAATTGTGAAGACAAAAATAACTGACAGCCAAAAGGGGAGGCTATATATATATATATATATATATATATATATATATATAATTTCCTTTTCTTCTCATCTTCCAGAACCTAAGAAATCCCCCTTCTTTGATATCAAGCCAGTATCAATAGATGTCATTGCTGGAGAAAGTGCAGATTTTGAGTGTCATGTTACTGGTGCTCAACCAATGCGCATCACATGGTCAAAAGATAACAAGGAAATCCGACCCGGAGGAAACTATACTATCACATGTGTGGGCAATACTCCCCATCTGAGGATACTCAAAGTGGGCAAAGGAGACTCGGGTCAATACACTTGTCAAGCGACCAATGACGTTGGCAAAGACATGTGCTCTGCTCAGCTCAGTGTGAAAGGTATCGCTGCATAGTATTTGCCAAGATTTGTTCTGGAATATGCTTGTGTTATCCTCTATGTGTCTGAAAATCTTTCTGCAGGCCGGTGTGCCATAGCTCAGTGTTAGAGCACTTCCCTTGCCCATGTGAAGCTCTGGGTTATATCCCTCAGTCATGCTAAATGAGAAAGATATTGAGTTTTGCCTGGTTTATTTTTTCATTTTTGACTTACTTTATAGTCTATGCTGGCCTGGAACTCAGAAATCCTCCTGTCTCAGCCCCCTGGGAGATAAGATTACTGGTGTGACACACCATTTTCCACTGTCTTATTGAGTCTTTAAATGTTTGAGTTAAACTAACAATCATATTTGAATTTATGCCTATGTTTTGGAAGAGCAGTAATCAAAGTTTTGCCTTCTCTTTAAATTATTTCTTGAGAAGTATTCTTTCTTTGAACTTTGTTGAATATAGTTTCAACCATTCACTCTCCCTTTCATCATTTCTTGTTATATAACATCTGGTTTATCATTACACAATTTTGATCAAATAAATATGCAATTATATTAGCTACTATGCTTTATCTTGTCTATACAGACCACACTATGTCAGCCAAATTCTCTGATAAATATTTTAAATCACCTAATAGGAAGGAAGATAGCTTATTTTACCATGAAATCATTAGGAAATTCATTCTTAATAATAAGCCTGTTAACATGTGAACTTTGGGGATTCTCAGCTATAAGGATAAACTCTTTTAACACATGATTACCCATTGCTGACTGTTTCCTTTGGTTTCATAGAACCTCCCAAGTTTGTTAAGAAATTAGATACTTCAAAAGTCGCGAAGCAGGGAGAATCCATCCAACTGGAATGTAAGATAAGTGGTTCCCCAGAAATCAAAGTTGTGTGGTTCCGGAATGACAGTGAACTTCACGAAAGCTGGAAATACAACATGTCCTTCGTTAATTCCGTGGCCCTGCTTACCATCAACGAAGCCAGTGCTGAGGACAGTGGCGACTACATCTGCGAGGCCCACAATGGCGTTGGTGACGCCAGCTGCAGCACAGCCCTGAAAGTTAAAGGTTAGACCCCTCTTCTGTTCCCTTTGTTCTCTTCAGTGCCTTCCTCATGGTCTCAAGGTCTCAGGCTGTTTGGATATCCAAAAGTGAACTCAAGCTGGGCCCGAACTTGAGGATTTCTGGTGGTTAAATAAAACCCGGCATTCCTCGGGAATTTGTGTAGACAGTCCCGGTCCAGCTTTGGGTTACGGACTTATCTCCAATTGCTAAGGTCCAAAGTTGAGAAGCTTACCACTCTTAGAAGTTTGTGAATGGTCCTGTGTCCATGTGTGTATTGTCATTACTCACACCAGTCACTCTCGGTGCTCTTCCATTTATAGCGAACATCTCTAGACTCTAGAAACTTGGTAGGTAGATGCTAACATCTTGTGTCCTCTTGGGTAAGCAGCTGCTCTCATTGTTCATCCTCTTTTCTCCTGGTAGCACCTCCGGTGTTTACCCAGAAGCCTGCTCCGGTCGGAGCCCTGAAAGGTTCTGACGTGATCCTCCAATGTGAAATTTCGGGAACGCCCCCCTTTGAAGTGGTGTGGGTCAAAGACCGAAAGCAAGTTCGAAGCAGCAAGAAATTTAAGATCACCTCCAAAAATTTTGACACGAGTCTCCACATCTTTAATCTGGAAGCCCCTGACGTAGGGGACTATCACTGCAAAGCCACTAATGAAGTGGGAAGCGACACCTGTGTCTGCGCTGTCAAATTCAAAGGTTTGTATGCGTTCACACACACATCCAACAGTGTGCTTCTTCCTTGACCTGCTCCTGCCCGACTGATAGCTGACATGGCTGTGACCCGTGCTTGCCCATTTGACCATGCATTTCTTTCATCAGAACCACCACGGTTTGTGAAAAAGCTCAGCGATACGTCCACCCTCATTGGGGAGCCTGTGGAATTACAAGCCGTGGTAGAAGGGTTCCAGCCGATTTCTGTTGTCTGGCTGAAAGATAAAGGCGAAGTCATCAGAGAGAGTGAAAACATTAAGATCTCCTTCACTGATAACATCGCAACTCTCCAACTGGGAAGTCCAGAAGCCTCACACTCTGGAAAATACGTGTGCCAAATCAGAAATGATGCGGGAATGAGGGAGTGCTCAGCGGTCCTGACTGTACTAGGTTAGTGGCAAAGTAGACCTCGGGGAGCAGAGGGAAGTTAATTGACCTATAATCATTTTCTGAAGACATGACTCTTATCCAACTCTCTACTGACTATAAGGCGAATCGGTTCTCAATGCCATATACTTCTTCCTCTTCTAGAACCAGCCAGGATCGTAGAGAAACCGGAACCCATGACCGTCACCACTGGAAATCCCTTCACACTGGAGTGTGTCGTAGCCGGGACTCCAGAACTTTCGGCCAAGTGGTTCAAAGATGGCAGAGAACTAGCTGCAGGCAGCAGACATCACATTACATTCGCCAGAAACCTGGCTTCCCTTAAGATCCCCTCTGCAGAAATGAACGACAAGGGCTTGTACAGCTGCGAAGTGAAGAACAGTGTCGGCAAGAGCAGCTGCACTGTGTCTGTCCACGTCTCGGGTGAGTACGATGAGGCCCGGCGGGAGACAGCGTCTCCGGCAGGGGTGGGGGCAGAAGAACGCTCCCTAAGTGGAAACCTTTCTCCTCTAGATCGCATCGTCCCGCCTTCCTTCATCCGGAAGCTGAAGGACACGAATGCCACCCTTGGGGCCTCTGTTGTTCTGGAGTGCCGAGTGTCAGGCTCGGCCCCCATTTCAGTCGGCTGGTTTCTGGACGGAAGTGAGGTCGTCCGTAGTCCCAAGTGTCAGCCCGGCTTTTCCGATAACGTCTGCACTCTGAGTCTGAACTCACTGGAGCCCTCCGACACCGGCACATATACGTGTGTGGCTGCCAACGAAGCTGGCCAGGACGAGAGCTCTGCAATCCTGACCATCCAAGGTCAGTGTCCAGGGACCCCCTGCTGCTTCTCTCCCCACTGTCCAGCGTTTGTGTTCATTCTCCCGTCTTAGTTTCCTTTGAGTAACAAGCACCCCTTTCCTCTTCATCTCCCTTCCATCTGGGCTGTTCAGAACCACCGTCTTTTGAGCAAACTCCTGACTCTGTGGAAGTTTTGCCTGGAATGAGCCTGACATTCACCAGTGTCATCAGAGGCACCCCTCCCTTCAAGGTCAAGTGGTTTAAGGGCAGCAGAGAGCTGGTGTCAGGGGAGGCATGCACCATTTCTTTGGAAGACTTTGTCACTGAGCTGGAGCTGCTTGAGGTGGAGCCAGTGCAGAGTGGAGATTATTCTTGCCTCGTGACCAACGATGCTGGCAGCGCTTCCTGTACCACGCATCTCTTTGTGAAAGGTTTGCTCTTTTATCCAGTGCCATTTCTTTCTAAAATCCTTCAGATGCATCATTTGAAGGTACAACTTTACCCTCATATTTTCTCCTTGTAGAACCAGCCACTTTTGTGAAAAGATTGACTGATACCAGTGTCGAGACAGGCAGCCCCATCGTTCTGGAGGCTACTTACACTGGCACACCTCCCATCTCCGTGAGCTGGATGAAGAATGAATATCCTCTGTTGCAGTCTCCTAACTGCGGCATTACCACAACAGAAAAATCTAGCATCCTGGAAATTCTTGAAAGCACGATAGAAGACTACGCACAGTATGCTTGCCTGATAGAAAACGAAGCAGGACAAGATATCTGTGAAGCTCTTGTGTCTGTCTTAGGTGTGTTGACAGTTAGCTCCTCCTACTGTTGTCTCTTCCTGTGAAATGTTCTTTTAGTTGTTGTTCACTGATCGATTGCCAACCTTTGTATCTTAGAACCACCTTACTTTATTGAACCCCTGGAACATGTGGAAGCAGCTATTGGAGAGCCCACAACCTTACAGTGTAAAGTGGATGGAACCC